CAAACCTATGACTGTTTCTCTGCTGGCAGACAGCCACAAGAAGTCTGTACTACAAAGTGGGCACCTGAGTCTTACCCACCATTTCCTTCTTTCAGACTTGTCTACTTCCCTCTATCTCTGAGCATTTTATCAAGGCCAAGTCACATGTTAATTGTTTTTAATTGCAATTGCTGTCACACTAAAAGTGACATTAGGGTTTCCTCTTAAGTCCTTTCCACTTGTCCTGAGCTGTGCATTTCTGGTCCTCCCTGTTGTTAGGTCTGACACTTGTGTAGCTGTTAGGTCAGTGGGTGGGTGGATTGACTTGCCGTGTGTCCATATGGCCGTTGAATCGGATGTAAGCAAGGGGCACGAGTGGAGGATAGGGAAGACTGTCTACCTGAGAACACTCTGGATAGCTGGTGGGCTGGGTTGACGCCAGCCAGCAGCCCACTCTGGATAGCTGGTGGGCTGGGTTGACACCAGCCAGCAGCTGAGCGAAGGTGTCCTGAACTGGCACCAGCACATTTCTATGGGGCGATGTCTTCCTTTCAGCCAAGAGAGGTAGAAGGGTGGCATGCCTTAAGTATTACTTCAAGAGTCACTTGTGAATGCTGGCAGTATTTTGTGCTAGTAATCTGGTTAGCTGTTTCTGGTGGGCAAATAAGGGCAGGGAGCCAAGCTATAAGGGAGTGAATGCTGTGAAGGAAAACTGTGATGCAGAGCTGGTTGTGGAAGAGTTTTCAGGGGACTCGGCCTAATCCTTGTGTATGTTTCTAGAAGGTGGTGTTGTGCCCGTGCTGCTTCCTTTGTGCTGACACTGGTCCTCCTCTTGACTCCATGGTGAGTGGGCTTATGCTGCTCATCTGTGGGCAGCTCAGCTCTTCTGGAAGGCTGCTGAAACCTGAGGAGGAAGGAGACCCTAGTCCTCCTCTTCTCCCATGATCTTGGCAGCACATTCGCAACCACCTTCTTGAACATGCTCTGGAGCTTCTTGCAGCCTTCCCTAAGGTGCCCTAACTCTAATCGGGCAGAAGACAACCTGAAGTGGGAGGAAAAAAGCCAGATTTAACTTTCTATTAAGTGAGTTGAAGCAAGATTGTACCTGCGTTGGTACTGGCACAATGTCTTGTTTGGCTGGTGTTGATGGCAGCACAGAGGAAAAGAAACACTGGGGAATCTTAGCTGCTAGTGAAGCTGCATGATGATCTTGCCATGTCCTTTCAAACTGTATACTTGCTAAATTAAACTGACAAAATGCTAACATTACAAATGGGGTAATAGTTATGTGGTGGTTTAGGTATCTCATCTAGGTCATTGTGGGATCAGACAAGTGTCAGCACCACTGGGAAACACAGCACATCCCAGAAAGAGGGAAAAGAAGGAAAGAGGGAGCAGTAGCCTGTAGTTAAGTTGGTTCGGCTATGTTACAAAACTCCACTCTAGGGGGAAGAAGGTTAAAAACAACATCAAGGTGTTTAATTCTTGCTTTAAGAATAATTCTGTCCATTTGCTAGGAGGTGATGTTGGTTTGTTTGATCTGTTTTGCAATTTTCAAATCTGTCTGAAGTCTAGGAGGTCCCTAAAAAGCAGTAATAGCGTAGTAGGCCTCTTAATGCACAGTAGTACGCCTGTGTGCTTAGTACGCCTGTGTGCTTAAGTCTGGGTAGGGCAGTATGAGAAATAAGTACTTGATAATAGCGTGTCATTCAGACTTAGTTGTGTCATTGCAGAGAGTGCTGTTGTGCTTCTCTCTCCCTCCATGCCCAAGTGTCTTGTTTTCCTTCCTGGTGGGGTAGACCAGAGCTATGACAAAGGCTGCTCGTGCAGACCCCTTCCCTCCTGCCTTCACAAGCAGGCAAAAACTTGCACTGTAGCTCCCAAGCCAAACGCTGTCTTGAATCCATGACTCTGATGTATATAAATAAAATCTTATTCCATCTATGAATATAGAATTATGCATATATTATTTTTATATATAAAATTGTATTCTCTCTATAAAATGTTCTTGGTTACTTAATTGTAAAATGGTCAGATGACTGTATAAAAAGTTACTGCTGTGAGAAACTGAAACTTATTTGGCAGTTATCTATTCCTTCTTATGTGGAATTGTTTTTATGCCGTTACATTAATGTGGTAGGATTTTAAATGGGCTAGTATTAGTCTTTGTGAAGCAAGGGTGCTGTTAACCCTTTCATGAATTTAGGGGTCGTCTGTAATACTTTTGGACTCCTCCAATCTTTCAGTTGTATTTAATGCACTGACCAGTGTGGTGTATCCGTAGCAAATTTCATTTTTTCTTCTGTGCATAAAGGTACCTACTTTTGGAAATGTTTTAACACAAGATATGTATAAAAAGTAAGGAAGATAGGGAGAACTTATCCTTTTTACCTTTCTGTTGCCAAAAGAAGCAGGATAATCCTACATTTTATTTCTCCTGTTCAAGCCAACATCTCCTGTCTGTTACTCCATAGCAGACCAACACTCCCCAAACACCTGTGTGAGATGGTTCAGCTCACGAACATGAAAACAAACTGGGGAAGGGGGGAGTGTGTAAATTCAGAAGTAGAAGCAGGAAAACAGCCCCTTTCAGAAGTAATGATCTGCTAGCTTCTCTCGATGGCCTGTGGAACCATAGCCTTCAAGGGATGTCTTCAGTGCTTCCTGCGCCTTGTTAGTGCTGTCTTGCAATATTTAAGTATCTGTTACAAATTTCTGACCAAGAATTATTTAACCTCCCTCTAGTAGGATAATTCTTCAAGTAGCTGCTGAGGGAAGGTTGAAATGAGTGAATAAAGAGTGTTTAGGGTTTTTCAGCTGCTTTTAAATGTCATATGTTACTATCTTGGCTGAGAGACCCAGCAGTCTGTCAACTGTAGCAAGCTTTTTGGTTTTGCTAGAATACTCTGCTGCCCTTAATGAGGTGAGGGGAAGAAGCGTAGTCTTCGCCTTTAAAAAAAAAAAGTTTTGTTGCTGATACAGGTTAGCAAGAAATTTTTTCAACAGTTTTGCTGTTGATACAGGTTAGCAAGAATTTATCATGTAGTATACTGGGCAGTGATAACTCAGTAGCCTGTGTTTTGTCTTTGGAAATACATTTTTCCTCTGCTGAGAGAAGAAATCCAGGTTACAGTTGCTTCTGTGGGTTAATTACTGCTGTGTTGAGGAACTAAGTATGAGGAAAACTTCGCAGATGCCTCTTACATGATACAGAATAGCTGAACTATAGCTCCTGACACCGTTATGCATCCTGCTGCTTTTTTCTTTCCCCACCTATGTACACCAGCACCAGACTGCTTAGAAGGAATTTCACAGTTTCACTACCTAGGGATTGCAGGCTGATCCATTTAATATATGTAAGCGCAAAAGTGCTTATAAATAACCTGGCTACTGGTCTTTCACACACAAGATCTGAAAGTGCCTTTAAATAGTGCTCTGCGATCATGTGTTTCAGAGCTCAAAGTTGTTATACATTCCTTGGTGTAGTGTTTTTCTGCAGCTTACTGCATAGGCAGAGGTGGAAAAAAATGCATTAAGCAAGTACATCTGTATAGTTAGTGTTTTTGACTGCTTTGGGCTAATTGCAATGCAAAATAATATGTAATATTCTATATGTGATACAAACTTTGTGAAAGGATTGCTTTCCTTTATCATTTTGAATTGTATATGTCATACGTGCTCTGTGGTAATGAAGACCACTGTGATCACAACATGTGTCCGAGAGAACTGAACCACCACAAGCACAAGTTAGTGCTCAAAAATACGAACTTACTACTTCATCTTACCTGTACTTTGGAGACTTTGGTGCATGTTCTGTAACACACAACTTCATTTAGAACATACCTGCATCAACAGTGTTAGATGTTGTTTATATTTAGTGTATTATTTTGACATCTGTGTTAAATGTTAGCCTTAATTTGAATATTGTAACTTGTTTTGGTTTTTTTTATAATAGTTGGTCTGTTTCACTGGTGATGGTAGGTTTTCAATTGTAACTTTTTAATTCTTCTTCAGAATACGCCACTTCACAAATAGTCCTTCTCAGTGTAAAAATGATCTGGTTTACTGTTAATTTGCCTCTTGCTCTGTAGAGTCTAACAGGGCATTGCAATTACTGGTGTGGAAATTGCTTTACCTTAGTGTCACAATACCACAGTGCTTCAGGATGGCAGGCTGCCACTTTTGTGCAGCGTTATGAATAGAACGTGAACTGGACTCTTATTTTTAGGATAGCATGTTAGAGACCGTCTTGCCATACCCTGTCAAAAGTCTCAGTGTATGGTGTTTCATAGCTGAATGGATCCTGACAATGCTGCGTGCCTCATTTGCTTATTTTCCAAGGTTTCCCTCTCCTACACCATGTGTAGGCTTTTCGTTATGTGATTCAATCACCTGCATAATCCTATGTGTCAGCATGGTTTGTAACATGATGCCTTGCAAGATTCTGCAGTTTTATCACTTGGTACTTATTCTTTATCACAGTCCTGCCTCAAGTCTGTCTTCATCCTTTCTGTTCTTATTCATTTCCATTTACTCTGCCACTTCCTTCTCCTATTTCTTCTTCGTCAAGGCTTTTGCCTCTGTACAAAGCTATGTGTATTGCTACAGTCTGTTTTAAATGGAGTACTTTTTTTTCCCCTTGCATTATCTACCTTTTGTTCCTCCTGGTCAAAGTTCCATTCTTGAGACTCTCCCTCCTTATTGGCACTAAAGCCCTTGTTTGCTTTTATGTTTTTGAAAATTGGTAAGAAAGTCTTTCTCTGTCTGTGGTAGCTATCTGAACTGTTGCTTTTTTTACTTTGGTCTGACTGTCCCTTGGCTGTTAATTGCTTGGCAAGACTATTTCACTTTACCTCTGCAGTGCCCAGGCTTGGGCTCAGTAACAGTACAAGGACATCATCTGCTTTGTCCTTCTGTCTTTTTAGTGAGCCCATTGTTTATGTTCTGCAACAGCATTATGCCCTTGGTGTCCAGCTGCAAACCTGCCTGAAAGAAGCGTGCTGGGGGCGGGGGGGAAGGCGATGAGGTAACACATGTAAGGATGTCACTGTCCCGTTTCAGGGAAAAAAAAACCCTCTAGAGAACTACTGGAATCTCTTAGTGGAGCTGCTTCGTAGTTCAGTAACTTCACTTGGTCAGGCACGTTCTTCAAGAGCATGCTTCCTAGGAACTTGACTTTTTTTTTTTACCATTTATTCAGAATGTAGCACTCCATGAAGCAACCCTATTCACATTTTTGGTTTTTTTGAGGCAGCATCTTGTGAATTTTAAAGTGTGAAAGTTTTTAAGTTAAGAATTGATACTATTTGGTACATGCTGCAATAAAATATTCTTTCAATCTGACTACTATGCATGCTAGAGAACTACAGTATGCAGTATATACACTAATTTGCAAATCTTAAGTTTCAGCAGATACTTTTCCTCCAGTTATTTAAATTATATATGTATATTACTTGATGCAAATTTGATTGTATACTGGCCTGTCAAGCTTTCAGAATTTAACTTTGCATTCATTCACAGGAGTGTAGGATTAAACATTCATATTAGTGAGTTGTGACATGATCGTCAATTTACTTTGTATATTCATTGCTGAAATACTAGTGACTGTTTGGAATTGTGTTCGCAGTATATCTATGCTTCTGACCCAGCCTGATGTCCAGTTTCTAGGATTTTTATACTACAGTTGATTGATCCTTATCCTTTTCTTGCAAGTGTTTGTTAACAAATTGATCAGTAGGATCAACTGTTTCCCCTGTGCTTTCAGTTTGCTTTAAGTTATGCATAACTTAATGCAGGTAAAAGCACCTGACCCTTCTCTTTTTTTGCCTTGTTTGCAGTAAATTAGTTTTTCTGAATATCTTATTATAATACTATGAATTTTAATGCTATGGAGGAAGGCAGAAAAATCTTGTCTCCTGTGTAGTTTGAAAAAAGTGATACTCTTACTGTTCAAAATGCATAGTGCAAAATGCATTAATCTGAAATGTCTGAGTAAGGTTTAATTTAACCTACATACAATGCTAAGGTTTTTTTAGGCATTGTCTCTGACAGCAACTGTCAGATATAAAAATAGCTGTTGTTTCTACAACCAAAATTAATTTTTTTGCAGCAGTTTTAACTCCCAAGCTTTCTTAGTTCTGACTGTATTTTGAACGGAATTCTCTAGCATATTTTCTTTATGTGGTGGTGTATGTTATTTCTCCTTACAGACGCCTCCACCTCAATAAGAAAGCCACAGACAAACAGCCATATAGCAAGCTTCCTGGTGTTTCACTCCTAAAGCCGTTAAAAGGTGTGGATCCTAACCTGATCAACAACTTAGAAACCTTCTTTGAACTGGATTATCCGAAAGTATGTATACTGTTTAGTGTCTTTTTTTTTTTCCCTCCCACCCTCCAAAAGTCCTGTCAGTAGCTTGGGCTAGAACTATGCAACTTGATTGTGTATTGGGTTGTCCTTCCTTCCACAGGGAATACATCGTTACACATTTTACATGGTGCAAACAAAACTTACTGCTTTTTAAAAAGCTGTCTATAAAGAAACACAACCAAGGCTTAGGGATGAAACATAGTCTGCACTTCACTAAGATTTGTTTCACCATTATTCCAGTGTTGTTTATAGCAGTATGAAACCCTTCAATCTATAAAAGATCATTTGAGAGGCCAGACACCCTCCCCAATTAACTACTTCTCTGTAACAGGTTCTCTAAAAGGAAATAAAAGAGAATCTGAAAGGTTCTCTTAACTGATAGCCTGAAACTTTCTGGTGGGTCTTACTGATGGCTCATCTAACGAAGAATTGCTCAATGATTAGGTGGTGTACCTCACCAGTTGTTGGTAGGTAGGATAGTCTCCAAGCCACTTATTGGTGTTGGGAAACAAATGGTTAATAAAAGCTTACATTTGCTCTTGAACACTGTTTGACTTTGTAATATAAGTGATAAGTAACGTAAGTGATAAGTGTGTCAGATGCTGTCCTTGCTCTAAGGAGCTTACAACTTAAAGGAGAAATCCGCACATGCTTGCTGCATCATTCACTATTTGGTGTATGCTCCTGTGGATGGAAAAAGGACTACATTTTATACTGCATATCTCCTATCTCAATTCTTCTCAAAACTGCTTCTGACACTGCAACTTGAGTTGTAAAAGGTCAAAGGTATGTGTAAGCTGTACAGTGAGTTTCCTTTGTGTATTCTGACTGAGAGCTTTAAACTAACTCCTAAGTGGGCAGGGTAAAACAAACAAAAAACCCCCACCATTTGAAACTTATTACAAGTTGGATAGTTCTTCTGTAATGAAGCTTGGGGCCTTTTGAAAAGCTTCAGGCATGAACGTTTGAATCCCTTTCAATGCAACAAAAGTGCAATAAGGATTAAGTGTGGCCAAGATAAGTTTAAAGCGTACTTCAGGCATGCTGTATACGCTGATATTGCAGACAGTGCAAAGAAGCTGCAGCAGTATCTTAACCTGTTTTATTACTATAATGAGCATCAAAACATTATGCAGCTGAAACATTTGACTACAAATGCTATTTGTTTGAGAATTCAGAACAGCAGCTATGCTGGATCTTGCTTTATGAGACATAGTCTTGACCTAAGGGTCAAGATAACTTACACATATGGGTGGCAATCCTAAAATATTGCTACTCCAAACAAATCTGAATTTCGGGTAACAATAGTGGCAATCATATTTTTCCCAAGGAGAGTGAAAATGGAAGGTATGAATGTTTGACTTTACTGGGGCACAGATCATACAGTACAAGCAAGATCCCCAAACTGTTTGAAAACACATCGGTACAATAACTACAAAAATAACTCATTTGAGAGATTGACATTACACCACAAAAATAAAAAAAACAGTATTGCTTGGTATTCAAAGTTCAGCTGTCCAGGGAAAAATTATTAGGAAAGAATAATCGTAAACTTGTTCCAGTGAAGCTGAGTTTAACCTGCAGTGATACTGATTCTCTGAAACTTTTTTGTGATACCCCCTGTGTGAAATAATCTTGTGTTGTGTAGAAGCCAGTTATGCAGCTTCTAAACTGCAGGACTTACACGTAGTATCTTCATCAGTGAACAGTTCTTACCTACTGTGCATATCGTAATTTTGGCAGAAATCTTTCTATTTGTGGTGTGTCCAAATGAACCTGATTGTAATGTTTATGTAGATAAGCATCTTTGTATTTCTTCTGCTTTAGTCATACTTTTTGTTGTTCTTTACTTTGTTACTGCATACAAAGGCCATTTACTGTGAATTTTTCTGTTTTCAAATATTGCAATGTCGAAGTTTTTTATTATTTCTGGTTGAATTTCTTGGAGAATAGGGATATAGAAGTGTCATTGCAACTGTGGATTGAAGATTAATTATTTAATTACTAGCAAAAATATTTGTTCTTTTACATATTTAATTGGATGAGCAATAAAGAACTAATTTCTTCAATTGGTAATTTCAATGGTATTCATGTTGTCAGGGTTGTTCTGTTGTGGTGGAAAGACCTGTCTGCTTAATGAGACAGGTCTTCTACCCTTTAAATTCCATGTTCCATGCTGGTAAAATGATAGGAATCAAATACTGTTTGCTCTTTAGGCAAATTGGCTTTGAGTTTGTGTTCTGAGAGGTAGAGATGTGTTTGTCTGATGGTTTTTAACACTGGACTGTCTCTTACCAACTCCCATTTAGTGGTTAATGATTTTAAGTTTCCACAATATTCTGAATGCAGTTAGAGTTGTTGCGTGTTTTTGTGTTTAACAATACTATTTTTTCTTCAAAGAATGTATTTGTTTAACTTAGTGTCTTCTGTTGTATGAAATACTTCTTACGGAACAAGAACATCAGATATTGTCATCATTGAGCCCACAGGCAGCTTTTGAAGTTCAGATTACTTTTTGCTGAAGTAGTTTACTGAAAATGAAGTTTAGTGAGGTGATAGAATAGTATAAGGGAGAATAAGAACTGTTTTGAACACTAGTTGGGACTCTTATTTACAGCTGCTATATCAAATGAGTTCCAAGAAACTTGTTTTTAATGAGATTGAATTTTTAAATCTTGGACTGTAAAAATGGCTTCTAGGTGTCTTGATCAGAAATTTGCATTTTCTGAATTTTATTCTTTGGATTGGAGCTCTGATTACTGAACTATTACAACAAGTTATCTTAACAGGGAGAGAGGAAGGTTGTATCAAGTAAGGAGCAGTCAAGGAATTTGCTGTTAATGCAGAAACAGAAATACCGCCATGTCCTGGTTTTGGCTGGGATAGAGTTAATTTTCTTACTAGTAGCTAGCTGGCATAGTGCTGTGTTTTGGATTTAGCATGAGAATAATGTGATAACAAACCGATGTTTTAGTTCAAAGTCAAGGACTCTTCAGCTTCCCATACTCTGCCAGTGAGGAGGTGCACAAGAAGCTGGGAGGGGGCACAGCCAGGACAGCTGACCCAAACTGGCCAAAGGGACGTTCCATACCATGTGACGTCATGCTCAGTATATAAGCTGGGGGGAGTTGGCCGGGGGGCAGAGGTCGCTGCCTGGGGACTGGCTGGGCATCGGTTGGCGGGTGGTGAGTGGTTGCATCACTTCTTTCTTGCTCTCGTGCTCTTTCTCGCCCGCCCGCCCTCCCTCGGTTTTTGTTTCTCTCTCTTGTTGTTTTACTTTGCATTAATATTCTATTATTTCAAATATTAAACTGTTCTTATCTCAACCCACAAGTTTTCTTACTCTTGCTCTTCTGATTCTCTCCCCCATCCCACCAGGGCCGGGAGGAGGGTGAGCAAGTGGCTGTGTGGAGCTTGGTTGCCGACTGGGGTTAAACCATGACTCTCCATCAAAGCTTGCAAAGCTGTCTCAAAACATTGAATGATTCTTAAAATGCTGTTTCCTCATCCACTGTAGCTCATGTGTAACAAGCATGTAGCTTGATGGCTGAAACAGCTACAGTTTTTCTTTACCTCTTGTTGATTTTTAACCATTATTCTATTAATGAGGAAAATACATATACATTACATATGCATATACATGCTCCTGAGCTTAGCTTTATTATACAATTAAGCGTACACGTACTGGTCTCTGTGGGTTGTCTTCCAACTCTGTTCTGCATATACATCTACAAAGGAAAGGAAGGTGTAGTTCAGAGGTATGCAGTCAAGTGTATCATAACATCATTCCTTTAATATTTTGTGTGCTGTAATTTCATTGAATATAAGATTGGATTTAAGATTTGTATGTGGACAAAAATGGAAGTGGAAATAAAAATTTTACCTTGTGTACCGGGATGTCTTGCTTCATGCCTAATAGAAACCCTTCCAATAACAGGAAAATTAATGTTCCTCAGTACAAGAGTTTATTGGGATACAGGCTTGGTTCTTTTTTCACAAGTACTTGGTTGTGCATTAAAAATTAGTCTTATTTAGCTGTAAAACAACCTCCTTGGTTTTATTTTTAATTCTCTAACAGTGCTCTTTTTTTTTTTTTTTTCCCCCAGTTTGGTACACTGTTAAGCTTTATTCCCTAGACCATATTGATGTTAAGTGTGTGTGTGTAAATATATACATATGTGTATACATTTTTGTTTTTACTAGTATGAAGTACTACTCTGTGTACAAGATCATGATGATCCAGCTATTGATGTGTGCAAAAAACTCCTTGGCAAATACCCGAATGTTGATGCTAGACTGTTCATAGGTAAGCAGTGCAACGTGAAGGTGGGACCCTTACTTGTAAAATGTTTAGGTCTTCAACTCCATATACAGTATTCTAAAATAAATAGTTGCCTTGTTCGGTCCATGTTGCTTCTGTAGCTTAATCATCTGTTTGGGGTAAAGTAGTAAGTTTGCAGTCACAATCTGTGACATCAGTCCAAAAAAACTCTAGAAAGAACGGTTTATGCAAACCCCGCAACTTTTTCCTTCTAAGTCTCAAATACAGCAGTTTAAATCCTGTCTTTGCACTGAACCAAATGTGCAGGAAGTGACTTGGAGTTGTGGCTGTATTTGAGCTTGAGGTCCTGCAACAATCCTTTTTCATCAGTTTAGACTGTAGGGCTCTCTTCACTTTACATTTGAATTAGAGGAGGGAAGGCATATTAGAACTAGGTAGTAGAATGTCTTTTTTTTTTTCTCTGACATGAAACAAACTGAGCCATTCTGTCAGGAGCAAAAGAGTGTCTCACTTTATTCTGCTCCTTTTTCATTTTTCTGCTAAAATTACTGTAAGGTATAATGGTCATAATCAGTAGTCTTTAAGAAATAAAAGATAGAGAATATTTACCTTACAGAATGTAGTAGTAAACTTTGTAGTTCTACTGCCCTTTAATTACGTTAACCTTGTTACCCTGCCATTTTGAGAAAGCATTTAAATATTTTTTCCTTTTTAATTTTCTCCATAACTGTAGTAAGATCTAAAATATAGAAGTGAAAGAATACTTAAATTTTAAATTCTTTTCATAAAAGTGGACTTTAAGAATTGATGGGTAAACACTTATTGTTCTTCAGTTAATATATCTAAATATTTTGAGTATTGAGTCTGAATTCTAAAAAAACCCCATACATTATTTGTGTATGATGTTTGTATTTTTTAGGTGGCAAGAAGGTTGGCATCAACCCCAAGATTAACAACTTAATGCCTGGCTATGAAGTTGCCAAATATGATCTCATATGGATTTGTGATAGTGGAATCAGAGGTAGGTGTGTCTTGTAATTCGCTGACTGTTATATTGCTCTTAATCCCTATAGGCAAGCAGTTGTTGGAGATTATTTTGCCTGAGAATACAAATAGAAATGAAAGTTAGAAATCTGGAAAAAAATATTTTAATGGTATAAAAATGTTTAATCTCTAATTAAGGGTGAAAGTTCCATTTAAAAAAATACTGTTCAAACTGTTTCCATTGTACTTGTTGTTGATCATAAAAATTGTGTTAATCAGTATTATTATTTTTCTGAAACTTTGTTGCTCCAAAATACTGTGCATCAAAGTGTGTGTGCTCTTGATATTGGTAATAGAATGAGAATTAGTGTCTCTTTACAGTAGCCTGTTAATGACAGCTCATTGAACTGTCTTTTTTATTTGTCACTTAGTAATGCCAGACACGCTGACAGATATGGCCAATCAAATGACTGAAAAAGTAGGCTTGGTCCATGGGCTTCCCTATGTTGCAGACAGACAGGGTTTTGCTGCTACCCTTGAACAGGTGAGTGCAATGGTGTCTTTTTTTTTTTGGCAAGACCTTGCTGACTAAAAGTTGTATAGTGCTTCTTGTACCTTTTGAGTGAAGAAATGTTTATTTTCAGCTGCAGTCACACTTCAAACTATCTAGGATAACTTTTAAATGCTCCAAAACTTTACTGTGGTGCTCTGAACATTGATTCAATGTTTAAGTTTACAATACAAGTAATAAAATAAAACCCGTCATTTTCATCCTGTAATCTTTAAAATTTATTAAAACTGAAGAACTCTTTCTAGTGCTTAGTCAGGAAGGGCCATTAATTCTATTTTGGTGTCATGGCCATTTCTGTGTTCCTTTTCAGACAAGTCAGAGCAAAGTCCATCTCACACAATATCTTATTTCTAGCAGGAGTTATAAGCAGAGCCTTGGAGGAGAGTAGAACACAAGCAAGGCTTATATCCTGTTCTCCTGTAATACTGTCTCAACTTTCTGCAATTTTCAGCTGAGAGACTTCCTGAGCAGGAAGTAGACTTGTATATTTACTAATCCTTAATATAGTAGTATTTTAGTAAGAACAGATTTCTTACATGAACTTTTCCATCCTTTCTTTGAGTCCATACAGATTTTTATCATCTATAACTGTCTTTACCAGGAAGTTCCATAGATCTACTATCTGTTACAGGAACCACCACCTTGTTCACTGACACTTGTTCTTCTATAGTGCTATTTCATGTCTCCTAATACTTGTTTTGGAAGAGAAAGTGAACAGTTGATTCCTATCCGCCATCTTCGTATCACTCATTCTGTCCTATTCTCCCCTCTTTTCTTTCTCAGTAAGTTCTCTTTTGTAGAATGAAGAGGTTGAGTTTTCTTGTTTGTTCCATGTCTCTCAAGGCACGTGATTTAATAAACTATCTTTTATTCTAAGCTGGCACATATAAGGCATTTTGGCCCCAAGGCTAGCTAATGTGTGTCAAAGGCAGAAGTGTGAGAAATGAAAGTGCAGTGAAATTCAATACTCCTTCATTGCATGGACAGAGGGCAGCTCGTTTGATTTTTGTGACACAAAGTCTGAATTTCCTCTTACAAGAGAAGAGCAAGGAGCTATAGCACAAAGCTTTTAGTACTGCTACGTGCTACAGTAGCAAGAATTACAACTCCTCCTTCTTTATTCTTGGAAGAGCTTTTTGCTTCTGGATCCAGTATACTGGAAGGTGAGCATGCCTCTTCTTGAATGAGTTACTGTATTAGTAAGACCAGTGTGAAGGCCATCTATTCGAAGAATAGTAGTGAGAGGTACTAGCACTCATTCCCACTGTCTCTTTATAGGACACTCCTAGTTTTAAATTATTGAATCTTGTAAAAAGACTCACTCACAATGTGAATTTTTTCTTTGTTATTTCTGGTTGCAAGCACATTAAGTAAACAAAATTCCCCTGCTTCTGTACAACCATATAATAAGTTTCTAAGAACATGTATGCAGTAATGAAGTTAATCTTTGTAAGAGGAAGGAGACAGCATGTCTGTCAGCTGTCACCAAATAATATATTAATCCTAGTGATGAGTAAATTACTTAATGGATTTAATTTTTATATATTCCCTGAGAACAACCGCAATAAATTAGAAATATCAAATGAAATATGGTAGTTTAGTATATGGATTTAAAACCCACTTACAGATTTATAAAAATGCAGCCAATATCACTACTAGATTTCTCAGTTTGGTGGTAAAGATCTTTCCAAATATACCATCATAATTGGCCATGTCTAGCACTTTTTGCCCTCTAAACATTTTTGGAGTAAAAGTTGTCAGTGAGTAGCACTTGCGTAAATACATGTAAAGTTTTAAAAGCCTTATCTTGTTTTGGCAGGTTTATTTTGGAACTTCGCATCCAAGGTCATATATTTCAGCCAACTTAACTGGCTTTAAGTGTGTAACAGGAATGTCATGCTTGATGAGGAAGGATGTCTTGGACCAAGCTGGAGGACTGATAGCTTTTGCACAATATATTGCTGAAGATTACTTTATGGCCAAAGCTATAGCTGACCGGTAAGATGACTCTGAAGTAAGCTTATTGCTTTAAGTGCAGTTTAAATCTTTTTAAACACATGGTACATACTGTAAGTATAGGTCTTCAGGTCAGCTTCACATGTATGCAGCAAACATGCTTATGACATGCGCTTTGTCCTATCAATATAGTCTTTTAGAAATAATTAAGCCATATCATTGTCAATTCCTTTAGAAGAAAGTTTGAGAACTTGGTTTAAGTATTACTCAAGTGGTATTTGCTCTCTTCCAATGAAGAGACTTGATAAAATACACTTAATCTCTTTGCTTATACCCATTGTAGTAAGATGGCACGTATGCCAAAGAAACTTTTCAAGCCTAATAAAATTCTTGGCTGTTTGTTCTCTAATTGTTTTTTGCATCTCTTATTTGCATGTTTTTGATATGATACATTCATTTTTCAGGGGTTGGAAATTTGCGATGGCCACACAAGTTGCAATGCAAAACTCTGGTTCATATTCTATTTCTCAGTTTCAGTCCAGAATGATCAGGTAAAATTTTAATCCTTGCTTCCTCTCCCACCCACCCCGTCACCTGCTTCTGATGTGGATAACCTGATAATGAGAGGGAATGCATTTTCCAAGCTAATTTGATCTAATGTCCAGAATGCTGAAGTTCCAGTGCACAGCTTGATGCATGCTTCTTGTTAGTGTTGGGAGAGAGGCACTGACTTTCCACAGAAGTATGACTGATACAAGTATTAAAAAACCCTAAACAAACCCACTTAGTACCTTTTAAATGCTATCTGCAGTATCTTTGAAAGGGAGAATTTTTGCAGTATTTTATTTGGAGGTGTAAATTACATGAGATTAAACTAACATTGTCAGAAAAGACCACGATGGCTCATCATTTGATGAGGGGGGGGGGAAGAGGACATAAAGAATAATGCATAGTCAAAACTGATTTGTTTGACTTTTTCTAGGTGGGCCAAACTGCGAATTAATATGTTGCCTGCCACAATAATTTGTGAGCCAATCTCAGAGTGCTTTGTTGCCAGTCTAGTTATTGGATGGGCAGCTCATCATGTGTTTAGATGGGATATAATGGTATTTTTCATGTGTCACTGCTTGGCGTGGTTTATATTTGACTACATTCAACTAAAAGGTGTTCAGGTACGTAGCTTCATTTTCTTTGGAGGTTATTAAAGTTACTAGTGCCATCTACTTCAGCAAAAAGCTAAGCCTAATTATAAAACCAAAATAATTCTTTTGACATCAAGGAAATAATAGGTCAAATCCTGTTACTTCTCAGTCTTCCAGCTTCAGTTACAGTAGCATGAAAAAGAGTAAGTGTGCTTGGTTTGTAATTTTGTTTTCTATATGCATCTGCCTCTACCTAGGTTCTGAAAGTTTGCATATCTGTCCCCTTAATCTTCATGTTTCCAGTCTGCTCTACCTAGGCATATCCAGAAATTTTAAGCTTTTTTTAACAGTACAAGAACAGCAGCTTTGTGGGTTTTCATGGGTTTTTTTTCTTATCTTAGTTATCACTTTGTCTTGTATTTATTGAGGTGTATATGTACTCAAGTATATTTTTCACTCTATTTTGGTGGTAATGAACTTTTACAGGACAACTGTAGCCTACTCCTAAAAATAAAATCTTCCCATCACTAGAAGTGAGGCCTCAAAACTTTCAATGTAGAAAGATGTCACAAATCAGAACTGCATTTGTTCTTCTAATGCTGTAAGAACTATTTAGACTACTTTCTGCTGTGACCATATTCCATCCAAATCTGATCCATAGTTACTTGTGTATTCAAACTTATCAAACAGTTCTCAGAATACTGAAAAATATTCTTTTGGTAGTCTTATCACATATTGGAAACAAACAAAAAAAGTTAGGCCTTGTGTTGATTCTGTAGGACTCCAGAAGGTCAGTTTAACAGTCACCTTTCTGATTACTTTTCTCACCATGCACACCATGTAAAAGAGCTTTGTGCCTACTCTTCGTCTTCTGAAGCCTCTTCAATTTCCAGCTTTGCATGTAGCTGGAAATTCTCAAAGGAGCAGAAAATATAGAGAGGCTATAAGCTTTTTTTGTAGTCCCACTTTTCCTATGCAATAGGCCAAAGGCTTGTTTATTTGAATTTCACTCCTCTGGGAATGTGCAGGAGTGTTCTGTCCAGATGCTGTTCTTCTGGCGTCTGTGGCAAAAACCCAGTGTCTGCTTGAACACAGTTTTACAAAGCTTCAAAAAGAAAAAAGTGAAATTGTCATACTTTTCCTTGCCTTTTGCTCTACATACAAATCTCTTTTCAAACCTTCTGGGTCATTCTGTCGAGCTCCTCATGTTTAATATGGATAATCATATCTTGAACAGGAAGATGTTCTTGGCTTATAAAAAAATACACTATTGATATGTAAATCTGTATAATAAGCTTTAGAATAGATTTATCTGTAACACAAATGTTTTAAATTACTTTAAAATTCCTTTTGGATAATCAGTATGTTGATATACTTGTTTTTTTTATATTCCTAGGGTGGTGCTCTGTGTTTTTCAAAACTTGATTATGCAGTAGCTTGGTTCATCAGAGAATCCATGACAATTTATATTTTCCTATCTGCTTTGTGGGACCCCACTATTAGCTGGAGGACAGGACGTTACAGATTACGTTGTGGAGGCACTGCAGAAGAAATTCTTGATGTATAGCCACAGCTTTGTAACTGTGAATGTCAAAAAGAGAAGGGGGGGGGGGAAGAAAAGTATTATAAATTGTTTATATAAATACTTTTAAGAAAATCTACCTTCAGTAGTTTTATTACTTGTATGTTTTGGTATCTGTTCTTTAATTTATTTTTGCATGGCACTTGCATCTGTAAAAATACATCTGTAGTCTTGGCCAAACGGTACCTTGCTCCTATGTACAAATAGAAATGGAGAGAATTGGTCCTGACATCTACTTTCTATAGGAATGCTCTGCAGTAAACTCTTTTTTTAAAAAAAAAAGCGTATCCTCCTGGATATGAACAGCTTCTTCTGCCACGGTGTGCTAGCCTAGCAAATCCAGGGTTCACATAGCTATTTTCCAGCTGGATTGTACAAGGCTGTACCTAGTAAAATCACAGAAGTACAGCTGATTTTCTGTTTTATCCCACTGAATTGAGCTAGTAACAGGACCTTGGGAAAGAAGCTCTTAAATGCTTTATGCCTACCTCTTGTAGTTGCTGCAGAACAAAATGAATGGAAAGGTAAAAATGCTTTGCAAAAACAAACTAAAGTAAAGCTGGAGTCATGTGTTTATATGTATATATGAAATACTTTCGTCATTGCAATGAACCAAAAGTGGACTGAGTTTGATAGAATGAGTTGGAAGGAATTACTGGTCAGGCATGTATTGTGGGCATCTTTTGGCCAACTCTGATCTGGTTCTGTCTTGAACCTCGTTAAGCACTGTGCTGTAACTAGCCAAGCTGGTCCCCTTCAATATTTCCATCCTTTTTTAAGGGGTGTTTGTTTTTCCCTGTGAGTGAATGCTTTGATGGGGGGTGGGGGCGGCAGGGGTGTGTGTGTGTGTGGGACATAGTAGGTGGTAGAAGGGAGCAGAAATACATTTCAGAAACACTTCACACATGAGCTATTTTCTTACACAATGTCTTAAGAATGTAATTTCATGATGCAGGTATTTAATATCTTTTTAAAGTGAACATACATACCTATACTAGTCATAATTAAGTATTCAACTGCAGTAGATATTGTGAATATATTAAAAGGCCGGGTGAGTTTGCTGTTACTGATTAAAAATATAATCTTAATTTAAATATCAAACTAAGTCTACTCTTGGCTTTTTGCCTTCTACTGTTAGTCTAGCCTTTAAATTGGACTTTTGTATTCCAGTGGTATGACTAAAAGGACGAGATTATAATGCATGCCGTGTTTTTCCCCTCTCTGCTCCCTGTAGCTTGGTTTCCAACCTCATTGTGAGACTTCCTAATTTGTGGTGAACTGGACTTGTTTTCTTTGAACACTTTTTAATTAAAAAAACACAGCAAAGCTAGAGAGGGATGTTGCATAAGCCTTTTGTTTTCATAATTGTATTTATGCTGCTTTACTTTTCTTCAGATGGAATTAGCATATTGTCACCATGAATGTGAGCTGCTAATTACAAGGCTAATGCCAACAAAGCAGCTTTAAAAGTTGGATGATAATGTGTAGCATATTAGCAATAATGACATGTATTTATAAAAATGGACATTTTTACCTTACTGAGCCAATCCCTTACCTGCCATATGCTACACAAGTGTAATGTGTGTGTATGTATGTGTTGTAAAGCATATTCTGGGCCAAAATGCTTCATCCACCTTAGTATCTCTTTTGCCTTATGATACCATGGAAGTCTTTTAATGGGCATTTCTGTATGAACAAAGGCTTTTGATGCATGCTTCATTCTTTTCATGTGAATCAGGAAGAAGCACTTTTCCTGAGGAAAGTTGCACACTTGAAAGCTAGTCTAGTTGTGACCCACGAAAACATTCTGGTTTTAATATTGTTTTTTACATAGTTGAATTTTGCTGACAATGTTTGTATCTTCATTTGTTTCATGAAGTTTGATGCCATTCATTGCACTGCTAAAGTGAAGCTTAGCTTGCAACTTAGCTTTATGCGGATTTCTATGCAGGCAATGGAACAGAACCAAAAAAAAGGCTGAACAGACTTCATTTTAAAAAAAATTAGGTGGGGATAATTGTTTAACAGGTGCTTTTGTATTAGTAGAGCCATCTTTGGTCATGAAAAATAAAGCTTCACTTAAGCAAATAGTTTCATTTGGGTATTGTTCGGTTGATTATGAAATGGAAACCAACACTCAAATGTTGTAGGAGGTGCTGCAACAGAACTTCTAAAAGTTAAAAATGGCTAATGTAAAGTTGTGTTGATCTACAGATATGTGGAATATACTATGTTTATTTAAAATCATTGTCTTGTTTTTTCTTTTATTTAAAAAATAAATATTGAATACAATCTGTTTGGAATACCCTTTTTTTCCCCCTTTGTTCAGTGGTGTTGTAACATGACAGCCTTAAGTATTTATGGCAGTTTTGATAGATTTGGTTTCTAAATAATCTTCGTAGCAATAAATAGATGTGCCTTTCTTTTGAGGTTTTTACACCTGGACCATTTGTTTTGGATTTTATATTTTGCTGAAATTAACTTACATGTGCCTAAATCTGATTTTGAGTTGTCCTTAGTTTTTTACAATAACTTCAGTGCATAAAAACCTCACAACTGAACAGATAGTTCTGTATCTATTGTAAATAGTCAGCCTAGATTCAGATTTTAGAGGTGGGTATCTTTGCCACAAAACATGTTAAAATTGAGGAGCAGTGTTGATACTTTGCTTTGAGGTACTCTACCAAGAAAGCACTCTGTGCTTGCTCTGTCATCTGGCTTGGCTTTTTCTTATCTCTTCCGTAACACACACAAAGATTCTCATGTGAAACTTAGTAAGAGACCATGTGTATAATAGAGTTGTTGGAATCTGGGAGGCCTGGCAGAAACAAACACCACTGGAATCACTTGAAAACTACTTACAGAAACTTAAATATTCCTGAGTGTATTTTGTGCTCAATACATTTGCAGCCATACAGCACAATACCCAAATCCCCTTTGAGTCCTTTTATTATTTTCCTGCCTACTATTAAATAATGTTTTGATTTTATTCTGTGCTTTCAAATGAAATCTTTCCCACTTGAATTCCTTTCGTTGCCACTCTTCTGTCTCCTGACACTACTGACTACCTGCATTTGATCTCAGTCTGTTTTGATAGCTGGAAAAGTTTTGTCTCCTTCTAACCACCTGCTTTCATGTAGCACTTCTGAAAGCTGTTTCATTCATCTTAAAGGCTTCTTTTAATCCTCACACCTGATTTTGGATCATCTAATTTTAAGGTGGGTTTGAGCTCCAGCTGTTTTGGGTTGAACTGGTCCCCCAACAGCTGTGACACTGATTCTGGTTATTGAGGCTAAGGAAACCTAAAGTTTTGTATGGCAATAGATAAACCTTTTATAGTTACACAAAGTGACTTCAGCTTAAATACTCTCTAGGCTTGTCTAAATAATAACACTTGGAAGAGAGGATGGCAGTGTATAGAATGGCAATAATTTCAAACTTAATCCAGCTTTTGGGTCTGAGAATGCATAAGCTGAATTTTCTAACTAATTGTCAGATTATACTGCATGGGTGTACAACTTGGATATTCAGAGTGAATGCACAAGTTTAAATAAAGGTGTTTTCTTAGCTCTTAAAATAAACTAAATTTCATGACAGAACTGCCCCACAAGAATAAGTGCTGCATATCTGCAGATGAGAACTTCTCTCAGGAAAGTCATCTCTACCTTCATGTTGGCTTTGGAGAAGGCATGTATGATTCCTACCTTAGTGTTGTAGAACTACACTGTAACTCAAATCGGTGATTTGGGATGTGCTTTTAATAAAAAAACCCCAAAACACCACAACAATACACAACCCCAAAAACTCCACAGAATCAAACCCCACTGGCTTTGCGTATCCTGTAGATCCTGAGCATTTGAAGTTGGACTGCTTTAAAGGTCATTACCTCTTCTGCATTGCACAAACAAATTTCCATTGCCAGCTATCAGACAATTGAGAACAAGTGATAATTCTTATGGCTTAATTCCCCACATTCCACTTTCACTGCTTATTTGTCTGGTCCTTAGAGTTTGAACCTTTCAGTAAGGAAACAAAGTTTAATGCAGCACTTCAGGGCAGTTTAGCCACTGCCATGTTTGTGTTAAGAGTCTGGTTACCTGTTTCATGTAGAAAGCTGCTGTTGACTATATTGCAAATCTTTGCTGAAAACGTTTCTTCTTTTGTAGCAGTTTCTACCGGCAGCTGGCTGTGTTTCAGTTATGAGTCCTACATGCAGGTCAGTGTCCAGTTCTCCCTTCAAATCCATCTTGTTCAGCTACAACCGAGCCAGCCAGCCTTGTGGATCCTAAGGCTTTGTCAGTGTTCAGCTATGACCTTGCAAGGTTATGTCCAGTGTGTTTCCTTTCCAAACGCAGTTTTAGGTTAGTGTCTTGCAAATGTTCTAACTGTCCTGAAGCCCTGCAGTCTGTATATGGAAAGCAGTGTGTCTAACTAGCCTTTTCAGTGGAAGACATTTGTGATGCTTGTCTTCCGACTTAGCTTAGGTTAAAATAACTAATCAGCTTATTCTTGTAAACTAAGAGACAGTGAAAAAAAGAAAAGTAGTATTTCTAATACTCTCCAACACAGCTTTTGGAATGCTTTGTTTCTTAAATTCTCATCAGATCAAGAGTGGACTGCTACTTACTGTGTGGCTCCTGCTTCTGGGGAGAATATGCTTCCTCTTCTTGATCTTAATCAGCTCCAACTATTTTTGCCTAAATGTTGGTGTGACTGTAGATGATCACTTTGAGGTGCGAACCAGACAGCGCACAATGGAAGTTTGTGGATTGCTGTTGTTTCTGTCTCATCCCTCCACACATGCCCCCAGCTTTTTCCCCGTTGCTGACAGGAAGGAAGGGCCTCAGCCAAACCCATGTGCCAGCTGGAATTAATGGCCATTTTATATGCGGCCAACTTGTGGGTGAATGGGAGAGGTCAGTGCAGGAAGCCAGTAAGCTCACTGGGAGCATGAAACAGGAGCTGTCAAAAGAAATCTCTTCACTGGGCTTTGGCATGAAGTGAGTTACTGTTCTTGACTTGGGCTTTGCATCCTCTGGGCCTGTGTTAAACTTAGATCTGCTCACAGGGTTGCAGTGAGCCCAAATGAATCTAAAGCTCTGCCAGTCTTCCCCCCCTGCCCTTACTCTATGATGAGTAGCTTTTCCTCTTCTAAGGCTTGCCTGTTGCCTGGAAGAGTGTATTTTTACATATTCAACAGTAACTTATTTTTGGTGGCAGTGGCTCCTTCCTTTCTCTGATACCAAAATACTGGGGGAGGTGCTGGGACAACAGAAGACCTGTACAGTACACACATAAAATGTAGTAACGCATTCAAAAGCGACCCCCTAACCCTGTGGAAATGATAGAATGTGGAGAAACTATGAAGCCTTCGGGGGATTCTGTCAGTATATATAATTGAATTTATTTTTCTACTTGCACATACATACAAATACACAAATTTATATGTGCATACATTTTTATATATGAACTTTTATATATGTACTAATACCAAATAAAAACCTTGTAAGAAGCCTTGGATTTGACAAGCCTGTTCTTTTCTATAGGTGGACCAGACAGGTAAAATAATGTTTTTCTAATATAAAAAGCCAGCAGCTCAAAGTTAAATAAATCATGAGCCATTGAGGCTAGTATACAGTTTCGTTTCATCTCTCAGTAAGCAGACAGAGGAAGGCTCCAAAAAATGTCAGTTTTTTTTCTGGACTCTTGTAAGC